ACAGTGATAGCGATTTTTATAATATTGCGAGCGAAAAAATTATAATATAATTAGAGTAAAAAGAAATCATAACAAATTAAAATAGTTTATTTTTATTATTCATGTATCTTATCTTCCCAACTACCCATCTACAACAATGATACACAATAATAAGTAACCTCAGCTCTGGTTTTTCCCAATGTTCTTTAAAATAATAACTGACTTTTGTGATCAAACCCAGCTATAACAACAGTATTATTTTATATTTTCTGTTATTTATGACTGATTTTAAAATTTTTAATAGCCATTACCTATATTCGTAGCTTAACAATTTGAAGCTTACTGTTGGTATAGGCGAATATCATTAATAAAAAGAGGTATCCTAGGATAATGGGGTCGGGTGCAGCCACTGTTATAAGTAATTTAATGAATACTATTGCTAACGAAAAACGATTCTGAGCAGAATTCAGTTAATACTGATGCTTTGTCAGCAATATATATATTATGTCATGTTGGGTTAAAATAATAAAATTGGCATTATATATTTTCTTTGATAATATTTGTTTAATTTAACGATTTTACCGTTTTTCCCGGTTTTTCACATTTGCTGGGAAAACTCTTGAGAAAATTTCAAAATAGCCTTCCTAAAGTACCTTCCCAGTCAAATTTTCTTTAAGACAAATTGCTTTAATTATAAATTAGAGCAAAATTTTGACAGAAAAGTTGTCCGTGGGAAAAAGAAGGCCGTAATATTTTACTAATTTATTTATTATATTTTCCCGTTTTTCGATTTGGTTTTTCACATTTGTCGAGTAAACTACTCAAAAAATCGAATATTACCACCCGAAAGATACCTCCCCATGCCGATTACCTTTCAGAAAAGGTGCAACATTAAAAAATTGAAGCAAGATCCTTGGTAGAAAAGTTGTCTACAGAAAATAAAAATTAAAAATTAAACATCTTTACAAAACCTTAAGTTTCTTCGTTCCACTCAGAATCTAAAATGATGCAATGACAATAAAATAATATAGTCGTAAATAATGTAATAACGAACTACGCATGACAAATATGATGGAAAAACTACACTTAGACTTTAGCTTTTTTTTTAATAAATAAAAATCTTGAAAATAATTCGTATCGCTGGTAGGCCACTGTTGTAGTTGAGAAGTTTATAAGGTCCGAATAAATTTTCTGCAATAAGTAAAACGTATAATAACTTCTTTGATCTACTCATAATTTAAAATTATTATTACCAGACATTGTTATTTTCATCGTGGATGACAGGTATTGAGGTATACGAAATTCTATGAGTATAAAAAGTCCGAATTCAAACCCTTATTTTATCGTTGATTTTGAAAATTATTTGAAATAGAAAAAGCCCCAAAAGAATATCGCTTAAAGAGATGATTAGATTAATTAAGTGATAAATGATTTCAATCAATAACATTATTTTGAGCAGAGTTCGGCATATTTTTATCGATCAAGTATTTATTATGTTTATTATATTAATATCCTTGTATTTTTTTTCCCAATAGAAATCCAAAAAACTATAAAAAACATTTCTTTTAGGTACCTGGTAGTTATTAGTTTTTAAAAAATTGTTTGACAAGGTATTTAAATTTCTAAAATATATTAAAAAGAAGTATCATCATACAAAATACCGCATTTTTTGAGTTACGATATGAAAAAGTTTAGTAGTTTAACCGAAAAAATATTTTCTTAGAAAAAGACCTTTGTAAAACTAATAGATTTTTATTCGTTACATCCGGATTTCAAAATAAAAGTATAAACCGAAATTATTTTAGTCATATTTTAATCATATTTCTATAACAAAAATGCATGTTTTAACTAGAATTAAAATATAGATTTAATAATTTTAAATTCAAAATTCAACCATATAGAGCTTAGAACCTATAGGTATATGCAAATTATGGAGGAAGATGTTTAAAATGAGGATATTAAATAATCATTCGAAGATCTTATAGTAGCACTTTAAAATAGTTTAAATTTGTAATCTATCCGCTCGAACTGTCAAATAAAAGTTTAATTTCAATGTTAAACGTCATTTTTTTTATTTATCGAGTGAACACTATTCATGGACAACTTTTCTCATCGAATTTAAGTAATGCCGTTTGTTTTTGGTATTATGTGATATTCCCGGGCTTGTCGTTGGTCAAGGTTGTAATCCGAGATACCGTGATATGCGCTGTGGATGACATCGGGATAACTTATTACGCGTTCAAAAAAACCTACGTGAAATGTAAGGTAAACGTAATAGTAACCTATTATTATGAAGACTTTTCATATTGTTTATTTTTATCGTCCATTTAGTGTACCGTCGTCCGTCACGAGTAGAAAAGATCGAGATGGATTTACAGATAGTTTGTAGTCGTATTATTATCCTATAGTCTGTGACATAAAATAAAAATGTGGTCTTATCGTATACTGTCAAGCCGAACAGCCGCCCAGGAAATTATTTTTAAAATCAATTTCGATTTTTAGCGTTTATCTCCGAATGAATTATTATAAAACTGAAATAAAATGTTCCAAAAGTAATCTGTACTAAAATATAGATTTTTTCCTTTAAATTGGTTTGTAACGTAAAGATATATTCAAAATTTATTAATTATCGTTTGTATATAGTTTAAGAACTTAAATGTTCCGTAAAATTAACACTGCTTAAGGTTTCCTTATAACCATTATTTGACTAGATTTTATCATGTTCAATGACTGAGATGCAAACCTTGTAAATAAATGCGAACTTCGTATGTTTGGTAAAACGAAATAATAACAATTATTATTTTATATTTTTTTCTTGTGTATTATGTAAATAATTTGATCGAAACATCTCATTAGTAAAGTCTAATATTACGATAATGGTTTCATATTTTATATTAATCATAAATATAAATTTAATATAGGTAATTATAATTATAATTATATCGATTTAGTATACACATTTTGAGTTTTCAGTGATACAAAATCGATATTTTTTAGATTGGGTAAATTATAATAACTGTTAGGGAAAAATGGAAATTCAAAATATAGTAAAACGCATTACGTGGTGGTCAAATTGATGCAATTAAATCAAAACTTGTCTCTTTGAGTACGTTTATTCATATAGTTAGGTATAACTTAATTTTTTTTTTTAAAACACTTCAAAAGGCAATCATTTTTTTCACAGCATTTTAAATTTTAAGTGAAACGAAAATTATTGTTGCTAAATATATTTTGATAGGAATTTGGTAAATTTTACCAGGGATTTTTGGATTTTGTTAGGGCTCATAAACTTTGAAAATCCACAAATAAACATGCCGTTGCTATCTTTGTATTTATACCGGTACATTGTCTGATTCCTAAAAAAATTATGCCGAATATGCTAAATTTTGTTAGAGCATTTTTGGATTTTACTAGGACTCCTATCGTTTAAATTCCTCATTTTCTCTTTTTCTGAAAAAGGCCTTTCAAAACATGTATAGGTAACTGAACTCCACTCAAAATCGTTTTTCATTAGTCATGATTAATTGTTGCACGCAGATCTGCAGACCCACCTACTTTTGCGAAGTATGTCCGTCTTTTTCAAAATGAATACTGTAATATGTGTTTTATTGTTTTTGATACATTGTCTTTCTGTCTTGAATAAGTCGTACTCGAATACGCTAAATTTAATACTTCCTTATCATTAAATTGTATCTTCAAAGAAGGTGCCGAACGTACAGAGAAACTTTCATTATTTATAAGTTGTATATTATTAAGTTATGTTGGTTAGAAAATTATATTTGTTTACATATGTCCTTTATGCCTATTATTTATGATTTAATATACGTATTATATTTTACACGATATTTATTTTATTTCAGAAAGCACGATCGATATCAGAGTAAATTAAAAATCTTTACAGTCATTTTACTGAAATGTAAGTATATTACCTGATATTAAAATTCGATTATTCGAAAATAATATTTTATTATTTTTTTCAAATAAGTATGCTTTTTATTTAAAATCAACGTGTTTTATTATTCACAATATAAACTATTTTTAACAGATAATATTTGTTTGTGAATCTTTTTGATCATGATCTGAACATGTTTGATTCACCACAGTACTTACCTATAGTAATAAATGTATTGTTTTGAAAATAATTTTCTCTGATTTACCTATACTTGATTAGAAAAAATACAGAATCGTTACAAGTTATTGAATAAGAAAAAAAAAGTGAATTTTATAGTGTTTACTTAACTCAACATTAAAGTAAAAACATTGATTATCAACTAACAATATTATTGATTAATCCTTGTTCAAATTATTTATTTATTTATTTACGGATAAATTGTCCAATTTCAATTATATATATTATAATAGTGACAATTGTGAATAAAGTATAAATTTTAACATTAATGAGCTTAAACAAAAATTAACACTTAACAGTATGTACGAATAACTAGACTATTATGTGTACAATAACCATATCCATATCTAATATGTAAATGTACATTATACGGATTACAGACATAAACAATAAAATACAAGTTTATACAGATGGTAGGAATATAATTTATTTAAATAGATTATGGTCATGGTTGTTACCATGAGACATTAAAATATTGATTGGGTGGTTTAACGTGTAGTTTTGAGAAACCAGATAGGTAGATAAAATAAATGATTAGGTACTTTTAAATTTATCAGACTTAGAATCATTAATTATAATAAGTTATAATAAGAAATTCTACGTGCTTTTAAAGAATCCATTTTTAAGATTTCTAGAATATTTTCATAACCAGTGTGGGGAGTTCTATCAATATTAGATTTGTAGCATATAAAATGAAGCACTTTATTTTGAACTTTTTCAAGTTTGTTATTGTGACCAATGTTATTATTATCCCAGATCATATGAACATATTCAGGTAAAGATCAGACAAGAGAAGTGTAGAGGCATTTGAAAGTAAAAGAATCGTTCAATTCTGAACAATTTTATTTAATTATAGCAAACAGGGATAGAGCTTTATTTTGGATAGTTAGAATATGGGTGTTGTAAAGAAATTTTGAGTCAGTGATCTATATCAAACAAATACCACTTTAAAAAAACCACCACAAAGCTCTAAAAACTATAAAATAATAGTTTTAAGCCTTTGTAAAATCAGTTTTAAATTAGTAACACTTATTGAGAGTCGAGACAGTGATGTCTAAATAACTATAATACATAATACGTTAAAGTAGCTTTTACAGTAACTACATGGATCTCAGAAATCTGATCTTTTTGTTCAGGTTAGGAGATATTTCAGTGCAGGAGTCGTTAATTTGTTGGGAAAGTTAATTTATATTTAATATAGTGGTTTATTTTGCACAATGATAGTTATTACCAACATGGCAGATATCACACTGCATGTGTAGTACACATTGTGTACTAACTACGAGTACATAAGATAGTAGCATATTATATCATTTATTGGTATTTATTGGAATGTATTATATCATAAATTTTCTGCCGACTTCATGGACTTAAAAAGTCTTATAAAAGTATTATTTTGTTATTTGTAGAGCTTTTTGAGTTTTTTTGCAATCAATTTTTTTTGTTAAACGATTTTTATTTCTATCACTATAATTACTTAAATATATTTGAATTGAATAAATCAATACATCAGAAACCTATACGAATTGCGTTACACTTAGTTCAGTATTGTCAAAATTTCCGCTTATTTTGCACATGTTTTACTCGTCTTAACTCGCAATATTTGGGTGCCCTCTAATGTTGACATCTGAGACTACTATCTCACACATTAATACATCATATAGACCAATGGTATTCAACCGATGGGCCATGACCCAAAAATGGGTCGCGAAAAGTTTTCTTGTTAAAATAAAAATTAAGTTTACACAATTATATACGGTATACAAATAATTGTTTAATTATTGAACTAAAAAAATTAATAAATGAAAATATAGTATAAAAATGTTCGTAATATATTATGTATCAACAATATTATTTAATTTATATTCAATAATATAGTAGTATCATGAATATCAAATCACAATATATGTTTCATATCCTGGTATGATTCTACGTAGTATGACATTATACATTGAATATACTTAATAATTTACGAGTAAAACAGGCTAGTAATAAAATTCATATATTATAATGTTATCGTTAAAGTTATTGATGTGTTATTGTGTTTAAAGACAAAGTATTATAAAATATATTAGACGTGTTATTATTCTAGTCATATTTCCGTGTCCATTAAAAAGTTTTTTTTTCATTTATTTCGTCAACAATGTAGTTTTTATTTATTCAGTTATAACAGTACTACTACAAAGTATTAAATAATTTTAGATTTTTTTTTTGTTTTTCTACAAATGCAGTTTTGCTCTTTAGGTGTGCGGTCGACTAAACGTGGGTCACGAAAAATATATGCCTAAAAAAGTTTGTCATGAGTCCAAAAAGGTTGAAGACTACTGACATAGACTGCCTACAAAAAACCAATTTTCTAGAGTTTTAAAACAACTATTCACTAACTACGTTACTAAAAAACGAAATTCCATTTTTGAGAATTCAATGGTCAGCTTTATTTATATGGAAAGGCATGTATTTTACTTTAAACTATTTTTCGAAAAAAAATAAAATAAAACAAATAATATTACTGAAATCAATAAAATTACATTATATTATATACCGTGTTCAGCGATCACGAATATGATTATTTCGATATCTCGGAGTACTTACTAATTTTTTTTTGACATTTTCAGAAATAAATAGTTCTAAAATTTTACATTACCATTATTTTTTATTCAATATTATTTTTAGAGGGAAACCGACTACGTGGTATTTGTTTTTTTATTTTTTTGTAGGTGCTAAATTTGATATCACTAAAATTTAGTCAATCCAATCATTTGCTTGTTGTGGTTATAAGTAAACCTGACACTAAGCGTATAGAGTACTCTGATAAGTTTTAGACATAAGGGGAGAAACTTATGACAAATATTACATTTGCACCTAAAAGATCATGTCTACTATAATTAAATATTTTTCTCTTAATACTTCATTTCTGAGAACTAGAGACATAGTCGTAGTATCTTGGCCAAAAACGATTATCTTTAATATAGATAATCGTTTTTGATCGTATATAGAATATAGATTATATATTCTATATACGATATATTTTAACTATTTCGAGTAAAACTGAATTATAATTTGTTTTTAAATTTTAGCTTTTATTCTGTAAACCGTAGAAACAATATGGCAACTATTGGTTATCAGAAGGTAATTCAAGTGTTTAAACCCAGAAAGCCTTTTTAAAATCAATTAAAAGTTCATTGAAATCAGTTGAAAATATATCAACTTATTTTGATTGAATTTTTATAATTTTTAATCGATCGAACACTTTAGCGATGGATTTAAGATTATATCTGGTTCTCAGATTAATAAAAAGACGTTCTAGGATAATAAGGATGGGTGCAGCCACTGTTATAGGTAATTTAATGTAGACCTGTAAGTAACAATAAACAGTTTGCTAACGAAAAAACAAATTTGATCGGAGTTCAGTTGATAGTCATGCTTTGTCAACATGCTATTTTTGTAGTTAAGGCCAAGTTTTTTGATGTAGTATTTATAAATGTGCATGCACCAACGGAGGAGAAGTCACAAGAGGAAAAAGAAGAATTTTACGCAGAGGTAGAAGATATCTTGACGAAAATAAAAAAATAGCAAAATACGAATTATATTGGGTGATATGAATGCGAAGATAGGAAAAGAACAGTTCTTCAAACCTACCATAGGGAAGTATAGCTTACACGAAATAACAAACGATAATGGTATGAAACTAGTAGACCTTGCAACTGGCAAAGGATTCAGGATAATGAGTACAATGTTTCCCCATAAAGATATACACAAAGGTACGTGGAGATCACCAAATGGACAACATATCAATCAAATTGACGATAACCTAGTGAATGAGAGATTCACAAATGCTATCAACGACGTACGAGTATATAGAGTAGCGGACTGTAACTCAGACCACTACTTGGTAGTTGGGAAGTTCAATATCAAGCTAAAGGCGAGTCAACAAATTGATAACTCCAACTGTGTCAAATATGAAATAACAAAGCTCGAGAATGAAGAAATGTGTAAAGCTTTTCAAACCGAAGTGAGGAGATTAACACAACTAACAGATATTAATGAGACTCAAAATATTGAATCGCTTTGGGAGATTATAAAAAAAATCATTACAAAGACATCAGAGGAAATCATCGGAAATCAAAAAATAAACCATGGTTTAATTCAGTGTGCGAAGAAGCAATAATAAGAAGAAAAGAGGCGAGATTAAAATGTTTAACGGATACAACAAACCAACTAAACGGAATAAGATACACTACAAGAAGAAAGGAAGCCCATAATATCTGCAGAAGAGAAAAAAGGAAATGTATAAATAAAATTATAGAAATGACAGAATCAGATCACAGAGCACACAGAAGTAGACAATTATACCAGAAAGTGAACAGGATGAGAAAAGGATATAAAGAACATGAAATATTTATAAGAAATAAGAATGGAAAACTGATAATAACAAAGATGGAAATAACAGAGAGATGGGCAGAATATTTTGAACAGCTGCTTAATGGAGAAGATCCTGAAGAAATGTTTGATTATATACAAGAACAACCAAATAATTGTGAATATGAAACACCTACGGTACAAGAAAAGACCACTAGGAAGACCCAGAATGCGATGGGAGGACTGTGTTAAAAAAGATGTAACAGTTTTCTACCCGGAGGAAGATTGGCATATACTAGCACAAAATCGTGAAGGATGGAGGCAATTATGTTTGGATGTGTGGTCTAAAAGGCCGTAAACAAAAAAAAAAAAATTCAGGAGTTCCGCCGATTTTTGTTTCACCTCTTCCATCGACTCAAACCGGATTCCTTTTAAGGTAGACTTTATCTTCGGAAACATGTAAAAGTCGCAGGGTGCCAAATCGGGTGAGTAAGACACGTGTTCGAGTACTGGAGTGCCTTAAGCGGCCAAATAACGCTTCACAGACAGCGCGTTATAGGCAGGTGCGTTATCCTATCGACCGTTTCTTACGAACTCATTCGCGCAATGTTGCCAAAACTGTCAAATAGTAATGTTGGTTCACAGTTTGACCCTCTGGAACCCATTCAGTCATCACCAGGGTAGGATTTGTATACAATAAAAAATTGTAAAATATGCATTTTATTTACCAAAATATGCAAAAATATGCATTTTAATTTTNCAGCCAGTTGATGATCAGCTGTAAATGGACGTCCGCCGGCAGCGACGTGCCGTCGGGCGGCTCCATGTACTTCTTGACGCTGTCCGGCCGGACCGCGTTCTCGTTCGCCATCCGTTTGGTGTACGCGATCGCTTTGTACGCGTACCGGGCCAACACGCCCGACAAACATATCGAAGCGACGATCGCCGCCAAAATCACGTGCGTCCACGTTATCGGAAACATCGTTTATCGCGCTCGTGTAACGGTAATTGTATTATTATCGTAACGGTTGATATTCTGCGTTGTCGCTCGAATGATGTGTAGTTTTTGTTTTCGTTTGTTTTATTTTTATACGTCCGTTGCCGTGGTTTCTACGGGCAACAGTAAAACAATCAAACCACCACCGTAATTAAAATTTGTTAGTTTCTCCGCGGAAAAAATGGTAGAAAGTCTAGAATAATTGCTGTTCTGTCTTCGTTCACGTCGATCTTAACTGCCGAGGCCAACAATTTTTTCCACAAATCAACAACGGCAGTCGCCACTTTATTAATCCAGACTGGTTCTCTGAAGTAACTAAAGGCGGCTTTTACAATTGACCAACCAAAGCTCCAGTATGCGGGAACGTCTTCTAACAATAGTATCGATATTTTTCTTACGGTATTTCTAACGTGATCATTATTGGTCCCGAGTATACGTATCGGTTCCACAAACCTACAAATAAAACGATTGTTATTTTTACAATTTAATTATATTTTAATATTTGTCACGATTTGGGATTTCGATTCCGGCAGTTTACGTTGAATTCGGTTAAGATCGGTAAAAATGTATACAAATGAAACAAACACCCGCCAAGCATATGAGAAATCGCACTCCGACGTGCAATACATACGAGTAGTTAATATTATGATCTTATTGTAGTAAATTGTAGTAAATAGAGAAAACTGAACTATTTGTACGGGGGAACAAACGAGGAAGTGTGTCAATTAAAAGTCAAATTTATATTTATAAACGTAAAATCATCATCCGGAGTGAACTGATTTATTGTCAAACTTAAATGTAAGGACGACACGTGTGTTTGTTCGTCGTCGGTTTTAATTCCGACAGTTACAAATTGTAACTTACAATACTGGCCGTAAAGCGAATTACTAATAATACCTATTTTCCCTTTGTTACAAACGTGTTTTCGGTATGAATTAATAATATTATTAGTAAATCATATTTACTCCGTTACATATTTCGAAAAATACCCAATTGGTTTTGGCGATATTTATAAATAATGCAATTTTATGTATTGAACAATGTGTTTACGTTTTTATGTTTTTATATCATGTTTTCTTACAAATCTTGCTTCGTAAATCGGAATGTGCAGAGTACGGTACACTTTCCATGGGAAATTTGTCTGTTGGTTCGTTAGAGAGGTTATTTTTTGATTTTCCAAAGGGTTTACGGAATAGTTTAGAAAAACCCGAGAGAACATTTGTAGGTAAAACCGCGAGAACATTTGTAGGTAAAACCGCTAATATTTACGGCGCGTCGCGGTGTTATACCGATTTCACTGATTTGTAGGTAAAACCGCTAATATTTACGGCGTTGTAGGTAAAACCGCTAATATTTACGGCGCGGTAGGTAAAACCGCTAATATTTACGGCGCGTCGCGGTGTTATACCGATTTCACTGTGTTTAGTTTTTATAACCTACCGGAAATATTGGTCCAATGAAAAAATGATTCGAGATCGATTTTGTTCGTTTTTTACATGTAGCGATGGAAAGTCGTTTTTTTTATATTTAAAAAATTTCTCATAATAATTGGGAAAAACCAAAATAGACGAAAAATATGTTAATTTAGCGAAACTGAAAAAAAAAAAAACGTAGAACAAACGGGACATTTTACGAAAATAATGCTTCTATTATTTTATTATTAATAAAATTCAGTTAAAAATATTCGTAGAAAATGTATCGAAAATCGTAAATATTACGGCCTTTCGTAATATGTTTAATAACCAAACTTCGCTCCGAATGGTTTTTTTTATTAGTAATGGTTTATTGTTGGATACAGGTATAAATTAAATTATTTTATGTGTAGCCGATTACCTACCCGTGGACTAGCGGGATTTTGAAATAAACTGCGTTTGCAAAAAAAAAAATTCAAAAATAAAGGGTTTCCGGTAAAGTAGACTTATACCCATCTTAAAATAATATTAACATTGTCACCATTGAAAATTGCACGTGGGAAAAATGATGCTGGAAAAATCTTATTTCATTGAATAAATCGAAATAATGAAGTTTTCTAAAACATAAAATTCGAAAACTCGGAATGTTGAATATTTTACAACGTTATCATAAACGCAATACAGTCAATGAGAGCAGCTGCTGTAAATGATCAGCTTCCAATGGGCGTCTAGCGATGTGTATGCCAATAACTTGCCCGCGGGTATAATAAAATTACAGTTGCGCAAATACCTGACGTGGTTTTGGAACCTGTACTCGTCGTCCGCGATCTGGTGGCCCACGGACACCATTCCGATGCACCGGTCGAAAAGGTACCGTTTAATGGTGGCCAGGTTCACGGCGTACGACCGCAGTTCCAGTTCGGTCCTGTACCGCAAGTTTTCCAGCGCGGCCAGTTTCGCGAACGCGGCGTCGAGCCGCTTCCGCTGGCGGTCCGTGCACTTCGTCTTGAACTCGTTCAGCCAGTTGATGATCANGATCTTTGAAAGGAAAATATTAAGAAGGATTTATGGACCATATCATGACCCGCAAACAGGTGAATGGCGTAAAAGACACAACGAGGAGTTATATGACTTATATAGCAGACCGGATATAGTAAAGGAGATAAAAAGAAAAAGATTAGAATGGGCAGGTCATGTGTGGAGGAAACCTGATGCTACGACAAAGACGGCCATACAAGAGAATCCAAGAGGGAAAAGACCACTAGGAAGACCCAGAATGCGATGGGAGGACTGTGTCAAAAAAGATTTAACAGTTTTCTACCCGGAGGAAGATTGGCATATACTAGCACAAAATCGTGAAGGATGGAGGCAATTATGTTTGGATGTGTGGGCTAAAAGGCCGTAAACAAAAAAAAAAAAAATCATTGTCAACATTTCAAGAATAGTACATTTTCTGAAAGCAAATTTTGTGCAATATTGTGATTAAGAAAGTCGTTTAACTGTCCGTTTAGTTTTCCAAATAATTGTGAAAAACCAGGGGAAAATGTAAGAAATAGTGTACGGCAGGGTATTATGGTTTCTTGTTGTTATACAGTAGGAAATTATTGTAAAGGTATGTAGTTTTCACAAAATACTTATTTTGGGATTTTGTAGATGTGGTGACATTTTTAAAAAGTTTTAGCTATTTTAAGGGTATTTATAGGTATTACATATTTTTATTTGGTGGGTATCTGTTATTAAAATAATATAACTAAAGAGAAATGCTTGATAATTTAACGTTAGGTACATTATAAGTTGTACATACCGGTTTTAAAACAAATTTGGGTTTGATACATTTTTTTTTTTTCATATGCCTTTTAAGAAAACATTTTGATATTTTCAATGTATGTTTTACCGAACTTCGCACCTAATCGTTTTTCGTTAGCAATGGTTTGTCCGTACGTACAGATATAAATTAAATAATGTTGTGTATCCTGCCTTCCCAACTTCCCACCAACAATACTGACTGCACTTGACTCAGGTTTTTTTTTTAATATTAATTTATGACTGCGATAATCAATGTGCGAAATGCACCACCAGGTGATCATGTTTTACTTTTTAAAACAGATTGTACTTTGGATTGTTTTTAAAACTTTGTAATATATAGCTATAATGTATATATTTTTTTATTTCTTTTATGTATATTTCCTTAAATTAATTTGTACGATTTATTGTTTGAATATAAAGCGATAGTTTTGTTTCATAATTCAATTTGAAATTAAAGTTCAATATTTTGTTGTTTCAAAAATATCGCAGAAAAAAAAAGTTCATTGAATCCCGCTGATTTCTGAACTTCAATTAAATATTCTCGAAATGTAAGATCAAGTTTAACACAAATATTGATATTAGAACTTTATATTGAATTTAAGTTTTTGTTTTTGTTTAATTTTAGATTCTGAGTGGAACGAGGAATGTACAGGTTTTATAATGTTTTACAATTTTTTTTTATGGGAACACCTTTTCTACTAGACAGCATACTCTGACTCCCAAATATAGTCGATTTTCAGAAAGGAAATTTTCTCTAGGTGGTAATTTTTTGAAATTCTCATTAATATTTGAGGTAACGAAGAAAATCTTGGTCTTTAGGTTAAAAGAGATTGAAAGATTTAAAATAAGGTGACCGTAAATGGCAACCGTATTTTTTGTCTTATTAAGTTTTTATTATTCTAATCTTTTTTAAACAATTAATATATATATATATATATATATAAGTATTATATATTAATAATATAAGATATACATTAAATTTCTGTCTGTAGCCTACCTTCCCAACTTCTCACCTACAACAGTGGCTGCACCCGCGTACAAAGTACGTTCGTCTTTTTTTTTTTACACATTCGAATTGAATGATATATTGTAATAATCAGAAAATAGCTGTTCGTATTGAATTATTTTGTTAATAAATTCTCTATCAGAAAAGTTTTAGATAAAGTATTTTATTGGAACGGTAGAAGATATACTGTTTGAACATTTGTTTATATATAATATTATTATTTCATTATAATTACGAGCTGCTATAAAACTTGTCGGGTAGGATACAGGAGTAAGTAAAATACAAGAGAATGGAAAATACATTTAGGATACGGAGGGAATGAGGATACGAGAGAAATTAGTTGAGATACGAGAATAGGTTTAGATATCGGTTTTTTACATGGTTTCACGGCTCTGCTCCCAGGCCCCAGGTACTCCTGTAATATAGGATACAGTATTTCAGGATACAGGAGACTGTAGCGGATACAGTTGGCGGGTGGGCAATCCGTCTTCAGCGGACTGGATGCATTATATTACGCATGATACATTATGGTGCTGAATACAGGGGAAATTAAATAATATAGGAGTGGTAATCGAGATGGATTCGGGGAACGTCTAGACGCCAGTATTTTCGGTTATGAAAAAGTCTGGGTATTAGTGTTCTCGGAAGCGGATACAGCCGGCACCTAGTATTATACAGGAGATTTTGAAATATGAAGGAACTGAATTCACTATAATTGAATGTAGTATAACGTCTGTATTTATAATATGTATTAATATACAGGGAGTAAAGCTTGTCTAGATGTCAGTATTCTCGGAAGCGTATATAGGCAGTAGATGTGTAATACAGTATAAAGTGTATAATACAACAGGAATTAAAATATAAAGGGATTCGGGAAATGTCAAAATGTCAGTATTTTGTGTTTAATACACCCAAAATGGAGCGAACAGGAAAACAAATAGGAAAAGTTATAACATGGATGTCCACACAATCGAGATTTAAAGATATCAATATGAAACCTTTACTAAATCGAATACACATTAGTAAGAAATCCGATGCATTAAAAACATTCAGTTTATTTCCAACACCATGTACTTAAAATTAATACATGCTAATATAAACATATTTTTTATAAGCCAAAATAGTGGACAGTGTTTTAAAAATATCAAAATGTGTTTTTGTTTAAAATAGAAAAATTATTAAATACTTCTACTGACACCACACAATAGAAACAGGGGAAAAAATATTTACAATAAGCTGTTTAAAATAGAGGGAAATTAAGATATGAAAGGATTTGGTGAATGTCTAGATATTATTATTTACAGTATTTACTATTGCACTATTGTGTTGAAAATTTTGAAAAAATTGATTGAAAACCTTTTTGTCAATATACTAAATTCTTGCTAAAGAAAAAAATAAATCCTAACAATATTATTTTTATTAACCATTAGTATAGGTATTCAGTATGTTACCTATTAATAAAAATTATACATTAGTATACATTTATGAAAATTCAAATGTTTATATTATCATATTATGTGTAGGTACCTGCTGGAGAGGCAGCTAAAAAACAGCGGCTTGATAACGGAGCAATGAAATAAATAATAACCAATTGTCAACTAATGTATTATTCTGTATTCTGTATACATGAGGACTTATTTACTTATACTTAAACACATACATTAAATTAGAAGTTATATTGTATATTATATTATAATATATACCAAAAATTGTTTAACCGTTGTTTAGGAGTCAAGTACTATTTTTTCTAGATAAGTAAGATAAATGAGAATATTGTCACATATTTCCATAAAGTCTTTTAAACTTAAATACACCGTTTCATGCAATATTACTTTTTATCATAATAATTTTTTTATTATCTATATGAACATTCAACACATAAATAAATTGAATAATTAGAGCTATTATTGTGAGCAGTTTTAAACGAGTTAAAAATAAATAAATACAGCCACTCACCGTACACGCTTAACGCCTCACGTTATTACTTAATTCAAAATTGGAGCTCTGAAAGACACAATCCAACCAATCTGAAAAAGAGGTAAAAATATTTATTAATAATATTGCACCTAAGCGACAAATAATAAAAATTATAAGCAATATATTAAACGTATTAATATATGTAAATATACAATCGGGAAACAGAATCATTTTTAGGATGTTCTGAAAAGCGGTTCGAAACGGCAAATAACTGCGTGAGTAGGGTTTTCGCGGGGGGGAGGGGAGGATAGAAAAACGTCCAATATAATAATTATAAATATAAATATATACAATAATATGAAAAAAAAACCGATAACCGACCGGGCGGCCAGATTATTTTTATGGTGTTTACAATGGCGGCAACCAGTATAGGACATGTTAGGACATACAACTGGGATCAATATTTTACTAGGAATTTGCCAGATATTAATAGGCTTCCTAAACTTCTGAAATCCACAAATAAATATGCCAAGGCTTTCTTTGCGACATCACTGGTCATTGTCCAATTCATAAAAAAAAAAAAATATATATCAACTTATTTAGACAAAGTTGATAGATCGTAATACAGTACATATACTTTCAGTAATACAGTATTTAACGCTTTTGTTTATTTAAATACCTATTACCAAGTCAATTTTTTTTTTGATTTAAAGTTGATTTCATAAATTTCCAATTTTATTTTTCTAGATATAGCGAACGCATAACACCATGTTTTTGTTTATTTTATTTGATGTCTATAGTTACATGATATTTTATCATAATGCTTGTTCATTTAATTCTTTTTCAAAAAACATTAATATTAATGGTAGATACCTACAATAATTTTACAATCTTCCCAAACACAAAAAAAATGTTTAAATTATATATTAGTGATAAATTTATGTTTTAGTATATTTTTTTTAAGTAACTCTATTATAAGTTTTTATATATAACAAGTAAATAAGTAAATGTGACAATAGTCTTAGCCAAATCCAAAAATGTCCTATCGAAATCTAAAAAATTCATCCGAATAAATTTGAATATTTTTTTGGAATCTGATAATGTTCTGTTGTAGCCACAGGATACACCAAGATACACACGATTTTTTCGTACATTTCAGAAGTTTTGGAGTTCTGGCAAAATCTAACAAATTTCTAGCAAAATGTTGAC